TGCACCACCACCGCCTGGCTTAGAAGAGGATTCTTTATGCACCCCAAGATCTTGAAAAAGTAAGACTCCTAGGCTGACAACGAATCAACAGCAATCCTTCTCCCTCAGCTTCCTGACTGCTGTCTTTTTTACTCTAGTGTTCTGTGCGGTATTATCACCATAAAGGATCATGTACTACATACGTGACTATTTTTATAAATCTATATATTTTAACAAACTTTATTCATGAAAATGAAAGTTCTTAAAAGAAATCTTCGCCGGGCGGATCTCTGTGAGTTCAAGGCCAGCCTGGGCTACCAAGTGAGTTCCAGGAAAAGGCACAAAGCTACACAGAGAAACCCTGTCTCGAAAAACAAAAAAAAAAAAAAAAAAAAAAAGAAATCTTCATATTTTTTAGCTGCTACAGTCGTAGTAACTATGTCTTTCCCTGACACTCAAAAAATATTTAGTAAGAGGAGAGGAGCTGGGACATAGTGGTGCACACCTTTAATCCCAGCAATTGAGAGGCAGAGGCAAGAGCATCTCTGAGTCCAAGGCTAGCCTAGTCCATATAGTGAGTTCCAGGCCAGCCAAGGTTATACAGAGAGACCCTGTCTCAAAAAAAAGGGGAAAAAAAGAAAACGAAAAAAGAAAAAGAAGAATCAAAACGGGTACTTTTCCCTAGAGAGGAAGGGGGGAGGCATGTGACTACGGAAGTCTCTGCGGTTACTACAGAGAACACCTTGGAAATGACAGGAGGTTAGAACTGAACAAGAAAGGCCTAAGAAGACTACAGGAAATGGGGTGAGGGTGAGTGAAACAATCAGAAGACTGGAATGCTGTGGCCTGACTGCAGTCAAGCCTGTCTGCTGACCCAGTCTGCTCTGCGGTCTATGCCCAGTTACTTACTAGTCCACAGGACAGGGCTTGCTCAGGGAGCAGGAAAGCAGCAAAGTCCTTCAAGAGCTGAGGCCAGTCTTGGAGTAGGGTTTGCAAGCTTTTATAAAGATCCACAGCAGTCTGCCTCTGGGCACTTGACTCAAATTCATAGATCACCTGAAGGAAATCTTCATACTTGCCAGGGACATGCTGGAGAGCCTCTCGTACCTACATACAAGACTTCAAATAGTCAACATCCCTTCTGTGGGCATCCAGAACAAGCACGGGCAAGGGAGAAGGTGTCACGGTCAGAGTTATCTCATGCAGAGGCTCTCCCCTCACCCCAGGTTAACAAAGACACAGAAGAAGCAGCAAGGCAGACTTCCCTTTCTCAAAGGAGCAACTGGACAACCTTTACTTTCTTGAGATTAGAGCCACAAAACTTGGGATTGCTAAGCTTACCTTCCTGACTTGAGCCCCTGATTTAAGCAGATTAAGAGTAGTTTTGTATATGAATTCTAATATGGGTCATACCAAGGTACATAATGCCAGAGCTGTGAATGTTAATAAAATAATAACAGATAGTAGTAGCAGCAGCAGCATGCTGATCGCCCCAAGTACCTCATTTTGCTGGGTTATTAACTGAGAAGGAAGATACACAGGGTACCAAGAGACCACAAAAGATCAAGTACACTCCCTTGAGATCAGCTCTCCAGGCTGCATACCAGCCACCGTTCTTTTCACTAAATGTTCACTAAAGGTCCTCTCTCAGCCCAATCTGTGAAGTCACAGCTTGGCACTGGGGAAAGCAGTATCACGTTCTCCTAATCCCTGGGTGAAAGAGAGATGGGATGCGGATGGGGCACTGACAACCATCCCTGAAAATACGGCTGAACTCTTGTAGGTCTCCTTTCAAGGCTCTCAGAGAACTCTGTGGCAATTGCCAGCAAGTAAGGCAGAGACAAAAACTATTGTGAATGTAGGGAAAAATTTTGGTTTGGGTTGTGTTGGGGCAGGCTTGTCCATACTAGACAAAAACTTTACTACTGAGCTCCAGCCTTAGTTACAAATTTCCATTCAAAATATCTGCCCCCAAAGCAGCAGCCACATGCATACAGAAAGGCAGGAATAGCAGCTGTATTGCCTACCCTGGTGAGGTAAGCCTGTGCAAAGGCCAGGTCCTTCTGCTCCCTGAGTGGGTCTCGATCGAGAATGTCCTCGTCATACAACAACAACAGCTTGGAGGTGTCCTTGCTAGCCCGAGCCCGACTTCCACGTCTGTTTCGAGCCCGATGGTTGCTTCGGCCTTTTCCAGCAGCTTTGATGCTCTCTCCTAGGAGTACATGTGAAAAAGAGTCTTTCTCAATCCGAGCAACCATGCGATCCTCCGCAGTGCGACCCATCAATCCAGCTCAACCACGGCACAAGTAGGGTGAAGAGTGTCTAGGAATGTGTGAGACAGAACAACTCTGCTTCCACTGCATGACTCCCAGTGTGCAACAAGAACGCCAAAAGTCACTGGGAGACCAGAAGACACTGTTACTGTAGCTTGAAAAAAAGGTGAATGCAAGTGTGAGGGCCACACCTACGATGGCAGAGAGGTAGATTAAGAAAAAAACATGACCTGAGCTGGACATACGACGCTGCCTCCAAAGACAGAAAAGAAGGTGAAGGAGTGACCAAGAGAGTGAACAGCTCACAGCCTCAGCACACAAGAGGCAGGAACCACAACTGAAACACTGAGCAGCTTCATGTACACGAAGGGTTGGTGGGATTCTAACTTCCTGTCTCTTGGTTTTCAAAGGAACCGCCCTAGTCTGTCTGTCTGGGGGAAGGAAAGCTGCAGGAGAGAAAGACTCCTCCCTGGAGCCTTCTGGCTCCCGTCAGCTGCACACCATGCGCACCCAAGGGAAACCTGTCCTCCGAGAGGTCGGCTGCACTCACCTGCGGGGCTTATGCTGCTCTCCACTTCTGGAGCAGTCTTGGGTGAGGCCGAGGTAGAAGGGGGCTTCTCAGCAGCATCTCCAACTGCTTCATCGTTCACTTCATCCTCCTTCTGCAAGGCTTCCATCCCTTCGGCCTCCTCTTCCTCTTCTTCTTCTGGCTCAGAGTTCTCCTCTTGGGAATTCTCCTCCTCAGACTCACCCTCCTGACTCATGCTCCTTTCAGAAGCCAGCCAAGTCAGTTTCTCCATAGTCTCCTAAAAGCACCCCACAGAATGTTCATAAGGGCTCCTAGCAGCTCACAGAAGGCCAAAGGACAGGAGCAGTGTCAGGAGGATGTAAGGGAGCCAGGGCCACCACCCTGAATTAGAGGAGAAACCTGAGGAAACTGAGGCAGGACAGGCAGCACAACATGCCTTTGAAAGGCTGCCCTACTTCCTCAAGATGGCTTTCCTCTAACGTGACCCATACAACTGTCTGTAACTCCTGACCTGCCACCCTCACACAGACAGACATGCAGGCAAAACACCAATGCACACAAACATGAATAAATTATTTAAAAAGGGGGGGGGGTCAGGGAAATGGGTCAGCAGGTTGCAGACAAGGGCTGCCAAGCCTGACAGTCTAGCTCAATGCCCGGGACCCACGTGATGGAAGGAGATAACCACCTCCTCCTGCTCCTCGGACCTCTACACACATGTCATGCACGTACCCACGCAAATAAAAGAATAAATGTAAAAATAAAAAACAAAGTATGGCAAGTGAGTCAAGCACTTCGCACAAGCCTCCTAAATGATGTGCCATACGCATTCAAAAGTCAAATCCCACTTTGTGACTCCCACACGCAGGGAACTTTCCACTGAGTCCCCACATTTACAACTACTCTGGCTCTCACCTGGAGCTCCGGGACAGAAAGCACGGACTCCTCCGAAGCCGACGACAGTTCATCTTCTTCATCTTGGGTGAGGTCATCAAAGTCCTCCTCCTCTTCTTCCTCAGGCCCGTCTTTCTCTCCTCCAGTGTCTGGTCCTGCCGGGGTCCCTACAGACTGACTGTCTGCAATGGCCGAGTCCTCAGCCTTCCCTGGAGGCCTGCTGAGCACCGTCTCCTGCTCCACGGAGGACGGAGTATCTCTGGGCAAACCTCTGCTTGCCTCTCCGCTTGGACTCCCCTCATCAGGCGGCTCTTGGGACACGGAAAGGGACGAAGCTGCTCGGGTCTCCTCTGTCTGCACCACTGCTTCTCTCCTCCGCTCTCTAGCACTACTCGGCTTCTCCTGAGGGGAGCCACGGTCTAATTCCATAGAGTATTCTTCTTTCACTTTCTCACCAATGTCCTGCTCGGGGAAGGTACTGGACATTTCCTCCACACGATCCTCAGCTTCCATCTTGACCATTTCTTCTAAATCCTTCGATGTGGAGTTCAGAGATAACTGGAGACTCAAAGGCAATGGCTCTAAAGCTTGCCCATCCTCTTCATTTTTCACACCTGTCCAGCCACAGGAACTCGATTCTGAGGATGCTTCCTGGTTTTCTGTTTTCACAATAGCCCAGCCACAGGCACTGGATTCTGAGGATGTTTCTTGGCTTTCCATACCTGATGAAGAACACCATGGCCTAGGATCCTCTTTGGAGAAGACAGTAGCACAGAGAGGAGTTAGTTCCTGGGAATTTGACGTGGAGTCAGGGTTTTGAGGAGCATTTTTCTCTTCAGCAATATCCAAGTTCACTTGGACCTTATCTTCAGGAACAGATGGTACAGGAAGTGTCAGAGGATTGCTCGAAACAATTAAGGGGGAGATGGAGGAGGCCACGAGGGGCTGATTTAATGGACAGGGGAAGGAAGTAGGATTAACAAGGAGAGTGGTGATGGGAATGGTCTGGGGATTCGGGGCCACGGCGGCATTAACAGGCTGGATCACATTACATCCACTGGGTAGGCTTACCACCTTCACTGTGGCGGCAGGAACCGTGAAGATGACAGGTGTGGGGTGGATGATGGGGGCAGCTTTCACACAGGGAGAAACCTTGGTTCCTTTTCTTCTTGTAGGCTTCCGCCTCACATATGGCTTTCGAAATTTCGAAGGGGCCAGTGAGGGTAGCATTATCTTGGGTGCAGAGGAAGAAGGCATTGGTGACTGAGACTCCGACAGGGGGAAGTTGGTCCTGGCTTCAGGACCGGAGGGCATAGTAGGCAGTGCTGCAGAAGATTCAAAACTATGTTCTCCGCTGACGGCCACTGAAGAGAAACCAGGAAGGGGCTGTAGGACAGTGGCTGGCTGGATCAGATGGGGAATCTGGACCACTATGTTTCCTGGGAGGACTTCTGATTGAGTTGACCAGGTTGCTATTTTCCCTGGGTTGAACCCAGGCTGAACACAGGGGCTGGGCTGGATAAGAAGGGGCTTCTGGACCAATGGCCGCTTCTGTCGCCAAGCCTTTCTAGAGAAACGCTTGGATCCTGGCTTCAACTTGAGGACTACGCCCTTGGGCATCAGCAGTGGGTATCGAGTTTCACTCCCCAATTCAGGGCAGGCTTTCTCTAAGTGCTGATCTGTGCCGGCTTCTGTGGCTCTGGGCACAGTTGCTCCTTCCTCAACGCCTTCAGCTGTTTTCCGAAGTTCATCCTGAATGGACTGTACACTGGCCTGCAGGAAATAAGAACACTGCTCTAGCACATGTCACAATTTAGGAGAAAGAAAAATGAGCTTTCTGGATTCTGAGGATTAGTGGAAGACAACCTCAAGATATAATCCCATGAAGGGTTTTTCCAGGCATCAATGTTCTAGGAAAACCACATCCCAAGTATAAACACTCTTCCTGAATTTACTTTGGGAAATTATCATTTAACTCCACAGGAACTTTTCGGGTCTTCTGCCTCACACAGACGTGGAAGGATGGACAGACCTTTAACCAGAATGGGAGCCGGTGTTCCTCCTTCTCTACGGGAGGCTTCCACTGCTGTGGCTGGGTCTCTTCACAGCACCTCATCAGAACTGGCAGCTGTTTGGTCTTCTTATAAAACTAGGCATGAAAACACAAATCATAAGTCATATTCTTTCAGACTGGGAAATGGGGTGGTTGATGGTTTCACACGCAAAAAATATCAGGTGTAAATGCTATGTATTTCTGCATTTCAAACAAAGTATCTCTAATTAATGAAGATTTCAAAATGTTCGATCTCCAAACACAATTATCCATTCTGATTACCACTAAGACTCAAAATTATCCCAGCATGAGGTAGGCAGAGGCAGGTGGATCTCTATGAGATCTAGGCCAGCCTAGTCTACAAAGTGAGTTCCAGAACAGCCAGAGCTGTTAGACACACACACACACACACACACACACACACACACACACACACTCAGTTGCTCCAGCACACAGAGCGTACCCCTCACCTTACACAGAAGCTACTCTTCAGCAAGTGGCAGTGTGAAGTGGAAAAGCCACTTAAAGCAAGCACAAGGGTGCACAGCTGTGATCCCAGGGGGAGAGGAAGGGGAAGACTGCGACAGTTTCATTTCCAAAGGAAATGGCTGGAGGTGGTGACAGACACCTTTAACCCTAGCACTTGGAAGGCAAAGGCAGGTGGAACTCAGTAAGTTCAAGACCAGCCTGGCCCACATAGCAAGCTCCAGGACAGCCAGAGCTACACAAAGAGATCCCATCTCAAATAAACAAACAAATGAATAAATATAAAAGAATAAATGGGACAGGCAACTGACTTGAGCATGAGAAACTGAGTTCATATTGTAGAAGGAAGAAAAGACTTTCTCAAGTTGTCCTCTGACCTCATGTGTGCACATGCCCCTCCCCAGGTAAATAAGTGTGATTTAAATAAAACAAAACAATGAGGGGCTGGACAGACAGTTCAACAATTGAAAGTGCTTGCTGCTCTCACCAAGGACCTGGGTTTACTTTCAAAAACCCACACTGGGCAGCTCATACTCACCTGTAACCACAGTTAATAGATCCAAGTTCCCATGATCCCCACAGGCATACACATGGTGCACATACACTCAGGCAGACAACAGACATAAAAAAACAAATCTGAAACACACACACACGTTAAGTAAATGTATAAATAAGGAGAACTGGGGATATGGTTTAATGATTGCTCCACTCCTACCTATGAAGGAGGAAAGAGGGAAGGGGAGGAAGGAGGGAGGCAGAAGCAGGGAGAGGGAGGAAGGCAGGAGTCCATTACTGAGGTTATTAAATTAGATCTACACCCAAATCCACAAGAAGTCGGTTATAGACCTGCTATATAACAAGGGGTAAGCTCACCACCTTCCAGAACTGTGGGTCACAAGGGAAAGGGATCAAACACTTTCATAACTAAAGCCTCAAAAAAATGCCTAACTCTTTAAACCACTTAAATCTTTTCTCCTTTGTTTCTTTTTCTACTTTTCTCTGTTTAACTAGGGTATTGTTATGGAGCCCTGGAGAGTCCTAAACTCACAGCAATTCCAGAGTCTCCGTCCCCTGGGTGCAGTGATCAGGGCCGCAACACCACACCTGGCTCACTGAACTCCTAAGGATCCTCTGCATAACCTTGGCATCAATGTCTAATGGAGAGCAGCCTGGCAGCTGGAGAGGGGGCTGGGTAGTTAAGAGCTCCTGCTCTGATAGAGGACCCAGTTCAGTTCCCAGCACACATGCACCCATGTCAGGTGGCTCACAGGGACACATGACTACAGCTTAGGGGCTTGGGGCCACTGCACACACTTGCACACACCCACACACAGACACATGCTTAATGAAAAAACAGAACAAATCTTTCAAAACCCCAGAGAAAGCAGCACTGTGGAGGTTTACAAACACAGTTCTGTCTCCCTGAGAAGGTTAGAGTAAGGAGACACAATATGGCTAGAAGGAGCGAGGACTTGTATAATTTCTTACTCAGGAAATATCCGTAAGAGAGGCTAAGGTGAAGGTACTCCAGAGCAAATTAATGGATCAATGTCTTACAAAGGAAAGAGCAGGACGGACCTAACACAGTGGGAGGAATTGTCCTTTACTGCAGCCTTCTTTGGGAGGGGTCCCTGCCTTCCCTGAGGGCTGAGAGGAGGAGAAGGGCTGGGTCCAGCTCCTCTGCAGGAGGCACAGGGGAGCTTGCAGCAAACACTCACTTTAATCACGTTGTTAGGAGCTCTGTTCTGGTTGAGGTTCTTGATCCTCACCGTCAGCTGGTGAGCGGTCTTACAAGTTACAAGGTACTTGCTGATTAGAGGTTTAGGGAACTCAGTGCCTTCGAAGTGCTTCAGTCCTAAAGCTAACAGACTGAGAGAGAAGCAATGATACAACCTAACTTCACAGACCTTTCTTCAAAAGAGTTCTCCAAACTGCTCATGCTTCACAAGGCTTTCTATACCTTCAGGCATTTACAGAGTACTGAGTGTTTTAAGAACCAAACACACAGGGATCAATGGCACAGGCAAGACCCTGGATTAATCCCAAGCACTGTTAAAATAAAATTTCTTTAAGTTCTTTGCACAAACATCCTTGGTGAGGCCTTGGGATTAAAAACACGGAAGACACAAAAACAGCCACAAGTACACTCTCAACACCCAGGAGGCTGAGGCAGGAGACGACAGGGTCAAGACCAGTCTGGGTTCATGGCACAACCCTGTATCAACAAACAAGGGCTGTAATGTAACTAACTCATGGGTTACAGTGCTTGCCTGACGGCACACTCCTGCATCAAACCCTGGGGAGGCGGGGAGGGAGGAGCACTGCTTTAAGCTGGAAGCCAACATGTGCTACACAAAAACACTGCTGCATCCCTCCTCGCAAACAAAACAAAACAAGAAAGCAAAACCCTACTACCAAAAACAAACAAACAAACAAACAAACAAACAAAACCCTGTTCTTAGGATGTAGAGGCAAGAGGATTCAAAGTTCAAGGCTATGTTGAGTAACATGACCTTTTCAAGTTCTATGATGGATACAGAAGGGTCTGCCTCACACAATAATAATGAATAAATCAAAGAATAAAATGACAATTTGAAGTCCTAATTTTTCTTTCTGTTTTGTTGTTTTGTCTTTCACGAGAAGATTTCTCTGCATAGCCTTGGCTGTCCTGGAACCTGCTAGACAGACCAGGCTGGACTCAAACTCATAGATCCACCTGTCTCTTCCTCCCAAGTGCAAGGATTAAAGGCGTGTGCACCAGCCCCTGACAAGGCCTTGTGTTTTTGAAAAACCTAATTATAAAATTATTTAAATTACTGAAGCTCTATCAGAATGCCATGAGAGAGCCGAGGCAGTAACTCATACAGTTCCTAGCAACATGAAGCCCAGAGTTTTAACACCCAGCACCACAAACACCGGGCTAATGGCTCACATCTGTATTTCCACCATTTAGGAGGGAGGAGGAGGGTCAGAAACTAAAAGGCCAAGAGGGTAAAACAAACAAGAACCATTGTCTTTGGGCTGGAGGACAATAGGGTAGAAACTTCTTACTCTGAAGATCTGCTTTCAGTACCTCTACAAGATTGGCTTACAATAAACCAAAGGTTAAACAATGCCTTTAAATGCTTCACAAATGTGTGTGGAGGGCTGGAGAGAGGGCTCAGGGCTTAGGAGCACAGCCCACTCTTCCAGAGGACCCAGGGTCAGAGAACAGCATCCACATGGTGACTCACCACAGTGCAGAACTCCAGCTCCAGGGAATCCAACTCCCTTTGTTGGCCTCTGTGGGCACTGCTTTGCACATGGGGCACACACATACAAGCAGGCCAAACACCATTATACATAAAATGAGACAATAATAATAAAGAGTTTTAACCACAACATGTGTGGCATGTCCTGCAAAAGACACTGCGGAAACTCTGTCCATCTACACGGCTTTTCTTTGGTCTGTGTCCTTATCATGCACATCTTATTTCACCTATGCTTCTCAAAAGCAACTGTCTTGTCTTTCGACAATGCATTCTTTTCATCCTCACAGTAAACTCACTTGTCCTCAGCCTTGGTAAAGATGATCTTATCCCGAGGATTATTTGCCTTCAGTGAACATATTGGAAGAAGCTCTGGATACATAAAAACCTTGTTTGTGGCCAGGATCCAAGCAACTTGCTTTGGCAAACAGGGAAATTCACTGGCTGTTAGAGAAGAAAAAAGAAAAAAAAAATCTGTGATCAGTACAACCCAAGGTCCAAAGAGTTTCACAAAAGTGTATAAATCCATTTTTATACAGAGCAGAGATCTTCTTCTCTGACTTGACTCCCTCAAGTTTCCAGTCCTTTCAACCTAACATTGCCTAACAGGAGCTGAACCAAGCTGATTCCCTTGTTCGTTCCTGTATGGGACACTTTATCTACTAAGACAAGAACACAGGGCACCCAGTAGTGCCCACACACACTGATATTCTCAGACATCTTTTCATCCCTTCTCTCTTTAAAAAGTTTTGCAACACAAAGGACTTCAGCAAGATTTTTGTTCTGCCAAGATAAAAATTATTCTTTCTTTCTTTATTTTTTTTTTTTTTACAAATCTGGTATTCTAGATGGCAGTGAGAAGGTTCAATACAGAAAACTGCAACAGGGCCTGATGACCTGAATTCAACTCCTGGGACCCACACAAGGTGGAAGGAGATAAATCAATTTCCACAGCTCTCCTGTGTAGTACAGTGCATATGTTCTCTCTATATATCCCTCTCTCCTCTTTCTCTCTCCCCCCTCCCTCTCTCTCTCTCTCCCCCTCTCCCTCCCTCCCTATCTATCTATCTATCTATCTATCTATCTACCTACCTACCTACCTACCTACCTACCTACCTACCTATCTATCTATCTACCTACCTACCTACCTACCGAGATATATATATATATATATATATACATACATACCTACCTACCTACCTACCTACCTACCTACCTACCTACCTACCTACCGATCTATCGCTCCCCCTCAACCCCGTGTGTGTATGTGTAAATATATCAACATGATTTAAAAATACAAAGAAAGTGTAAGTGACATTCCAACTTTCAATGATATGTTGATTGTGAACTCAGGCCCCAAGTGAGAAATCAACACTAGACATTTGTCACACATGTAGGCAGTACTTTGCTACACAGCTACATCCCCAGTCACAAATATTTGATCTTAATGATTCAGACTAAGAACTTAAACATGGGGGTGGGGAAATGGCTCAGTGGATAAGAGCAATGACTGCTCTTCCCAAGGACCCAGGTTCAACTCCAGACACACACATGGTAACTGACAGCTGTTTGTAACTGCAGCCCAGGGGATCTGACGCCCTCACACAGACCTGCAGGCAGGCAAGACACCAATGCAGATGAAAGGAAAATAAACCATTAAAAAAGAAAAAGAGCCGGGCGGTGGTGGCGCATGCCTTTAATCCCAGCACTTGGGAGGCAGAGGCAGGCGGATCTCTGTGAGTTCGAGGCCAGCCTGGGCTACCAAGTGAGCTCCAGGAAAGGCGCAAAGCTACGCAGAGAAACCCTGTCTCGAAAAACCAAAAAAAAAAAAAAAAAAAAAAAAAGAAAAAGAACTTGAACATGACCAAACCTTCACAGTTGGACTTTCATCTTTACCAAACCCCAGCTAATTTTCTCGTGAAACCTAACACTTTTCCATAGGTCATTCAAGTCCGGTTTTTAGCACGATTCCTAAATCCCTATTCTGGCTCTTGGCTTTCTAAGTTTTGCCCAAGCATTGATATTGTCATGTAATACTCAAGCCTAGAATATGAAGAATAAAACTCAGAAAACGTAAATTATAAATATTCTGCACACTCCATCCTTAAGAATTATACATAGGGTTGGAGAGATGGCTCAGTGGTTAAGAGCACTGGCTGCTCTTCCAGAGGTTCCGGGTTCAATTCCCAGCAACCACATGGCAGCTCAAAACTGTAATTCAAGTTCCGGTGGATCCGACTCCCTCACAAAGATATGCAGGTCAAACACCAATGCATATAAAAATTAACAAAAAAAGGAAATACACATAAAAAAAAATATTAAAGACTCGTCTCTGACTGCAAATCAAAACCTGAGGTTGACTCATTCATTCATCTCCTACCAGTCTTCTTGACCGTTTTATGAGGACTGCAGTCAACGCTGACATGTGCGAAGTCTTCAATGAGCTGCATAGCTCCCATCCAGTTACAGGGCTGGAACAAGGTCTGAAACTTGGGGTTGAACTGTTGGTGAAGGGCGATGGAGTTCTCTGCAAAGGTTCCCAGCTCTTTCTGAGAATAAAGGACACAAGGGAGATCTGAGAGGATTCCAGACAACTAATGTCACAGTCCTCAGACTCTAAAGGGAAAAGGGCCCTTCCTGCATAGGATTAGAGGCAGGTAAAAGTCTTTATTAATGGACATCATTCCATTATGACTACTCTGTCTTCATCCCCAGCGATTGGGAACTGGACCTCCATTCATTTGTCACACTTGGGTTTGAAGTCACTGAACATTCTGCAGTCTTGCCGACGCATCTTACACTCCCAAGTTAGAATCAAATTTAGCAGCAGAGCTGTTGAGAAGTATGCTCAAAGCCCTGGGTTTTAACCTCAACAAAGAGGTGGGGGAGGGGAGTGGGAGGCAGGGGTGAGTTTGGAGGGGGGTTATATTAGATACACACACACACACACACACACACACACACACACACACACACACACACACACCACCCCAGGCTTTTGAGAGTCTCACTCTGTAGCCCAGGAGAGCCCTGAACTCAGGATCCTCCTTTCTCATTCACCAAAGTACTAGAAATAAAGGGGATTACCACACCCACCTCTGATTGTAAAGAAATATTTTCTGAAGGTCTGGAAAGATGGCTCAGCAGTTAAAAAGTATTTATTGCTCTATACAGGACCCAGGCTCAGTTCCCAGCACCCACAAGGTTGATTACAACCATTAATAAAGCTATTTCCAGGGAGATGTGACACCCTCTTCTGGCCTCCACAATCACCAAGCACGCATGTTGTCCATATACATGCATGCAGGCAAAACACTCATACACAAAATAAATCTAATTATTTAAAATTTTCTGAAATATGCACCAAAAGAAAATTTTCTAGGGCTTGATAGATGGCTCAGAGGTTAAGAGCACTGGCTGTTCTTCCAGAGGACCTGAGTTCAATTCCCAGCACAAAATGGTGGCTCACAACCATCTGTAATGGGATCTGGTGACCTCTTTGGCCTGTAGTCATACATGCTGCATACATAATAAATAAATTAATAAATAAATCTTTAAAAAAAAAAAAGAAAATTTTCTCATGGTCATCCGAATACAGTTAAAAAGTGAACAGACTTTTACCACAAATAAGTTTGGCATATTCAAACACACCATAGAACCACAAAAGGGCTTCCTCCAGGGCGCTCTTACCTGACAGTTCCTCCCAATAGGGAGTTCCTTCTGACCTCCGTTCACAGATCTACTATTAATTCTACAAGGATGAAAAAGGAGGGGGCGGGGAGAGGTGAAAGGGAGTATGGGAAGGAGGAAGGACCCATCAAAGTTTACAAATCTTTCAAAACACTTAAAAAATGTCATAAGCAAAATTAATTCTATACTAAACAAAGCTGAGCCTAATAAACAGGTCATGAACTCAACATCCTTAAAAACAAAAGTATCAAAGGGTGAGAGAGCCGGGAGGCTCACTTAGGAGAGTGCTTGCCTAACGTGCAGGAAGTCCTGGGTTACATCTACAGGACGCCATAAATTGGCCACTGTGTGTACATCCGTAACTCGGCCCTTATGAAGCAGAGGCAGGGCAATCAGAAGCATAAGGTGAACTAAATGAGTCTGAGGCTACCTTGGACTACGTGAGACTCTGTCTCAAAAAAAAAAAAAAAAAAATGGATCCCAAGATGAGGAGGATGCAATTAAAATGACATCAGAATGTTTCCTGAGACTCCGTGTTCTGTCAAGCAAAAGAACAATAGGTCCAGCGACCAGACACATCCAGTAGAGAAGAAGAAACACAGATCACACCCAGTGAGTAACATTCACCTGAAAACTGACTTGTCAGGCTAACGTCAAACTTAAGTCTTCAGAGTTATAGATGTGTGGAACCTTACCAGAAATACTCTGGTGGTGCTGGCCTCGGAGCTGAGGTTGGGGTTGGAGGTGGTGAGAAGGTGGATTTGTGTCAAGAGCTGAACATGCTGGGAAGGAAAAAAACTGACACTTCATAATGTTGCCATTTCAGAAACACAGATCTTACCAAGAAGTCTGCAAATGTATCACACACATCTTGCTTCTCAGAGGGATTAGAGCAGAGCAGGATCTTGATGTGAATTTCTGAGATATTTTCCTCAGAACAAAACCACAAACTCAGACAAACTTGAACCTCACACTAGAGAGACTAAGACTGAGAGAGGAAAACGCAACACTGACAGTTACTCAAGTGTGAATTTGTGGTCGAGGACTCTGAATTCCCTCATCCTGAGAATTAGTGAGGTCTTTATCTGTGTTCCTGCTCTTCTCTCAAGGTCTTACGGACTCAGGGTCCTATGGCCCCGGTCTCCACGGGAAGCAGGACAGCCATCTCTGACTTTACAACACTGCTCCCTTTCAGCTTCAGTGTTAAGCTAGGAGATGATGCGATCACAGGGCAATGAGAAAGTCTTGCCTGCTGCATCTGCTGCTGAAGCCTGCTCCTCTGTGCTGTGTCTAGAATCAGAGCCTGATGGACCGTCTCCTTCTGAGGTTTAAGCCTCTCCACTTCAGGCTGTGGTTTGGAGGAAGATTTTTTCATTTTCAGTTGTTCAAGCAGCTCTTTCACCGTCCGGTGTCGTTCATTTAGCAAGTTGGCCAATGGTTCCTCAAACCTATTCCCACAAGGAAAAAAATCTGTGTATTTTCATAGGTCATCAAATTCCTTGTAATGACAACTGAACCAAGCCTGAACAATGTCCATTTACTTTTGAAATTAATTGATTTTCATTTTTTAGAATATACTTAATCTTTTTATATTTTATGTGCATTGGTGTTTTGCCTGCATGTGTGTCTGTGTGAGGGGTCAGATCCCCTGGAACTGGAGTTACAGCTGTCAGCTGCCATGTGGGTACTGGGAATTGAACCTGGGTCCTCTGGAAGACCAGCCAGTGCTCTTAGCCACTGAGCCATTTCTCCACAGCATGTCTATACTTTTGATCTTTAAATCTCACTATAACCAGTATCCATGCTCCTTAAACAAATCATTTCCTCAGACTGTTAGGATTACATTCAAATGAAATAATTCTGTTCCCCGAGAAGAGCACATGCCTAGAATGCTAGAAATAGCCTTCCTGGAGGCTGTCTTTATCCTCGGTCAGAACTACCATGCAGGCTGTGTGTGGAAGATCACCACCAAAGGTGCTGCTCAGCTGTGAAGTCCAAATGATGATGCACTATCAGCATGACAGGCAAGACACTGCTGCTTTTGGTACAACCAATTGCTTGCCTCTTGGATTTAAGACCCAGCCCACAGGAGGGAACTCATGTTAGGTTCTGTAAACTAGGGCAAAGACTTGTGGCTGTGGAGGTCATAGGCCCCAGGGTCAAGGTAACTGCTCCGTAAACGGACGTGATATACCTGGCAGACCGCCTTTTCACGATGGGTGTTTATGTCTACATGTAAGGTTGTTCATGTGACTACAGGTACCCAGAGGTCACAAAAGGTCATCTAATCCTCTGGAGCGGGAGTTACAGGTGATGGCACCTGACGTGGGTGCTGGCACTGAACTCTGGTCCTCTCAAAGAACAGTCTGAGCTCTCAACCTCTGAGCCATTTCTCCAGACCCTTGGTTTTTGGTTTGGTAACTCGTTTGCTAAGTCCAGGGACCATTTCAGGAGTGAACACAACAGGGCAGTCAAGCTCAGATTCCCAGTAGTTGCCAGAAGGAGGGAGATGAAGAAGAGAAAGAATGACAGCTGTGCCCTTTGGAGCCCAGGACAGCATGCTCAGCAATGCACATTAACAAGCAGTCGAATGGGTGTGTCTAAGTGGGTGGAGAACAAGTGAAAACGTCCAGAGAGTCAGCAATCCATGCTTAGGCTTGGGCCAGCATCAGGAGATAGAAGCAGGGAAGGAAGGGGATTGGAGAGATGGCACAGTGGTTAAGAGCACTTACTGTACCACTTCCTGTTCATGCAGAAGACTCAGGTTTGACTCCCAGCACCCACACAGTGACTCACAACCATCTATAACCCCAGGTCCAGGGGATCCAATGCCACTTTCTAGCAGGAAAGTAATGCTCAACCACTTGCATGGAAAGGCTGCTCTCAGTGCCAGCTGTGATCTCTCTCCCTTCCCAAACAGACACAGCTCTGTCTATAGCTGTACTGCCCCATAACCAGGAGACTTGGGTTTGCTGGTTTGTTAACTAACTCACCTCTAGGGCAAAACAAGAGGGTGAGGGAAGACTAATTATAATTCTTCAAAAAACAACCAAAACTACCAAGCCTCTTCAGAAACATATCACCCCTTCTCTCCATCTCAGCCAGCATACCGTAGGGTTTGAGGGGTGTTGAAGTCTGGCCGAGACTCTGGAACACGCTCCTCTTCCTCAGGGCCATCTTCTTCCATATTAGAGAATCCCATTTCATCCTGGAACTGTGGGCAAATGAAAAGGAGGGTTTTCTCAAGGGAATGTTCCTTATGTTCGTCTCTCTAGTGATAGTAAGTATTAGCAAAAGTAGAGAATTCAGGAGCGTTAATAATGTTGGGATTCAAAAGAGACCCTAGGAGGGGAGTTGGCTCAGGGGTTAAGAACACTGGTTGGTGAATAGGACCCAGAATCAATTCCCAGCTCCAATGTGGGCAGCACAAATGATCTCTCACTGCAGTCCAGGGGATCCAATGCCCTCTTCTGACCTTCATAGGCACCAGGCATGTGGCACACAGAAAGACATGCAGGAAAAACACTCATTCACATAACGAATAGTATTTCCCACTGTTCTCAAAATGCAGAGTTGTGGAGCCCCGTCATGAAGGGTATATCTACAAACATTCTTGGCCTCAGGGAATACAGAGGAAGAAGGAGGGGAGAGACTGTGAGCCTAAGGAACAGGGAGTGTTGTTAGGAGACCATGTCTCCTAGGAATGTTAGAAGTTGCACCAATAAAGACTTATCAACAGGACTGCCTGAACAGGAGCTGCACAAAGAAAAGAGCAGGCATGCTAACTGGACAGGAGACAGCCCAAGAGGCCTCAACCCTACACCAAGAACGTCGACAATAAGGAAAGCAGGGACTGGGAGAAATTCTTTTTCCCCCGAGAAGAGCACACCAGTTGGTTAAACAATACCAAGTGGTCAGTCCTAAAAACACATTCAAGTAATATTATGCAGACAGGACAGTTTGTACTTATGTATGTAGGAAAACACACGTGTATGTAACAAAATGAATGAAAACAGGACACGAATTTGAAATAGAACAAGGAGGGGTATTTGGGATGGTTTGAAGAGAGGAAAGAGAAGGCCTATATGCAGTAATTTATTATAATCTCAAATAATTAGAGAAATAATAAGAAATTTATATAAATATATAAAAGCACAGCTATAATGGAGCTATTCTCACTTCAGGAGTCTCGGTCCCATACTAACAATGGCTAATAACTCAAAAAGAAGTCTTTCGACTGGCCAACTTGTAACATGAACTGAGAGAGAATAGATTTCCACAGAAACACCTTAGTGTGTGGTTTATGTGTGTACATGTGTGTTGTGTAAATGTAGAGGCCAGAGTTTGATGTAGGGTATCTTCCTCAAGCATTTTCTTTTTTTTCTTTTCTTTTTTTTTTTTTTCTTTTTTTGACACAAACCAGACTGTTTAGTGCAGAGATATTGTTATGGTCCTAGTTAAGTGACCCCAGGTAAGGAGGTGCTGGGCCCCTCAGTTCAGAGCTGTGAGGGGAAGATGGGAGGGACAGAGGGCTTTCATCTGACCCTCAGAGTCCCAGCTGCACGGACACAGCAGGTGGGTCACAGAACAGCTCGGGGGAAACGAACCTGGAACTCCAAGCAGCATATCTTTCTTGCCCTTGAACAGCTCGGCCACATTCACCTTCTTCCCAGATTCCCCTTCAAACACCTCCACTGAGGGGAGACCATCTCCCTCCTTAGTTGGGGCCATGGCCATCACAGCACTCCTGAGGCTGTGGGCTCAGCCACATGCCAGCCTGCTGCTTAGTAGCCTGCTCTGCCTGCCATGGACCGGTAACATGGAGCAGTAACATGGAGCACTAATATGGAGCACTAACATGGAACAGTAACATGGAACAGTCCCATGGAGCAGTCCCATGGAGCAGTCCCATGGAGCAGTCCCATGGAGCACTAACATGGAGCACTAACATGGAGCAGTCCCATGGAGCAGTCCCATGGAGCAGTAACATGGAGCACTAACATGGAACAGTAACATGGAACAGTCCCATGGAGCAGTACCATGGAGCAGTCCCATGGAGCACTAACATGGAGCAGTAACATGGAGCACTAACATGGAGCAGTAACATGGAGCACTAACATGGAGCACTCCTATGGCGCATCAAGCTGGCTCTGCAGCTCAGGACATGTAGCTCCACCTTCACAGCCACCCCTCTACCCACCACCTCCTAGCCCACTCCTCAATCAATTTTTAAATCGGGACTGTCATAAGCTCCAGGGACCAGTGTCTCTGTACACACCAGAGCTGGGTTTGCAAGCACACATCACAAGACAGGCTTTTATGTGGGTTCCCAGATATGAACTCAGTTCCTCATGCTTTATGCAAACGCATAACCAACAAAGCTTTCTCTCCCAGCCCCAGAATTATCTCTCTTTTATAAGACTTTTCTTTTTATGTATATGTGTGTGTGTATATGCGTCGGGGGGGTGTGTGTGTGTGTGTGTGTGTGTGTGTGTGTGTGTGTGTGCGTGCTTGTGTGTGATGGGGATGTGGTGAGATATCCAAGAAGGTCAGATGAGGGTATTAGATCCTCTGAAACTAGAATCATAGGTGGTTGTGCACCACTGGACATGGGTGCTGGGAATTGAACTTGGATCCTCTGGAAAAGCAGCAGGTGCTCTTAAATGCTAAGTCATCTCTCCAGTTTCCCCACACACCCACAATATTTTTAAACAGGCAGATTTTCCTGCCATTCCCTTTGGAACCAACCACTCCAGTCTCTCTTTGGAATGTAAACTCTGCTGGACTAAACAGACCTCTGCTTCCACTGAAAAATAACCTAAAATCAAGAGATGATTTCAAGAAAAAATGTCTCTACGATCAGTGTGTCCAAACGATAGTTTGCAATGACAGCCCCTAGGAATAGCATGTAGATAATAAGCGTCTAATACATGTGGATCATTGAGAGTCCACTGCTCAGAATTTCCTGGTCATTGTACTCCTTGGTGGTTCTGACACAGGCAGACCATTCTGCTAGAGAGAAAATACCTAAGCGCAAAAGACAGAGCTTACTAAAGAATTTCACCAAGTCGCTCACTCAAAAATCATTACTCACAGTTTCAAACAGCTCCTCCATCAGCCCGTTTACTTCTTTTTCTGTGAAAAGGCAAAGAAGTATGTTAGCAGAGATGAGTTTCATTTTGTAATAAGGAAAACCTCTATTCTCCCAAGGCATCTGAACAAATGCTCATATCCATCCTTCAAGCAGAAACTCAAAGAGAGTTATGAAACACCAACTGTGCTTCAATTCCTGTTCAAGATGCTTGGGGTACATGGAAGATCAAAAGACAGAAGTGTTGTTATCTGTGCCTGAGCCACAACACTCCAAGGCACGCCAGCAGGCTTCGGACCAAGGGGAGAACAGAGGCTAGGGTGTCAGGAGGCCATAATACTTATGAGCATAGAACCACTCGGAAGTCTGTGTCCTGGGCTGCATGTTTACTGGGCTGTGTCACAGGCTAGTTTATGTACACCTTGAAGACAAAGGGGTCTTGCATACACGGGTTGGACTGAGAGCATGCAGGCATTATCAGTTCAAATTCCAGAGTCCCGGTCAGGGAGAAGTACAGGGAGGGAAGGAGGCACATCACTTAGTTTATCAACTGACAGGCTGTCAGCAAAATAACATGTTGGCACGAGCTTTCTAGCAGGGAAGAAAAGACTTGCTGGCTTTTAAAATGATGTGATTTTTGTCCCTATGAAGAAGATTCAGGTTTTTCAATTGGAATCTTGAATCAACACCCAGTTCCTACCACAATCTCTTAGAGATTTTGGTGTGCAGCAAACTACACCAAATTGTTTGATTCTGGAATTCCACACCTTTATTTGTTTGTTTGTGTGTTTTATTTTTTTGATACACGGTTTCTCTGTATAGTTTTGGTTCTTGTCCTGGTTCTTGCTCTGTAGACCAGGCTGGCCTCGAACTCACAGAAATCCGCCTGCATTTGCCTCCCGAGGGCCGGGACCAAAGGCATGCACTCCCACTGCCTGGTAGAAGTCTTTTTTTTTTTTTTTTTTAAGAGATTTATTTATTATACATACAGAGTTCAGTCTGCAGGTGTCTTTGCAGGCCAGAAGAGGGTACCAGATCTCATTACAGGTGGTTATGGGCCACCATGTGGTTGCTGGGAATTGAACTCAGGACCTCTGAAAGAACAGTCAGTGCTCTTATCCACTGAGCCATCTCTCCAGTCCAGTAGTCTCCTTTCTTAAAGTTTAAATTCTAGTGGACTGTTCAATATTAAATGATTTTATAATAAAAGCAGTTATAATCCCAGTTCTCAGGAGGCTGATGTAAAATAGCTGTTCAGGAGTGAAGACCATGTTGGCATTCAGAGAATAGTACAACCCTTACCAAATAGTAAATGCCAAACATAGAACTATAAGGCGTACAACAGCAACTTTCTGCATATGCCCTGTATTTAAACAATTACAGAAATAAACAAAGGAGACTTAATTGTCTAAATATGAATTGGCCCTCAGCCTCCAACACATCTACAGAGTAAACAAAGACATGCGGACAAGACAAGAACAAACAAACTTACTAGTGATTCTCACGGCACGGTCAGTACGGAAATCCTCTGTGTCTGGTTCATCAAGATCTTCCAGGAAGTTATATTCTGGATCATCATCATCATCCGCTTCATCTGGGGGGAAAGATTTTAGACACTTTTACAAATTCTGCCTCTTTTTTTCCCCAGTCAAGGTCTCTGTCTCTGTCAATCTCTGTCTCTCACTGTGTATGTGTGTGTTTCTCTGTACATATATCTTTCTCTATCTTCCTGTGATTTTTTTTTGAGAGAGTCTCACTCTGTATGCCTAGTTGACCTAGGACTCACTAAGTAGAGCAGGCTGGCCTTGAACTCACACATCTGCCTGCTTCTGTTTCCTAAATTAGGGCATTACAGGCATGCATCACCGTACCACCATGCCCAGACCCCCAACCATGAACCTTTTACCTGTAGAAACAAAAAGAATCTT